AACCGACCGTAGGACACAGAGTGGCTATGAAGTAAAGGTAAGGGAGCTTTTTGAACTAATATTTCGCGTGATCATGATTTTTTTTTTTTTCTTAGCGTTGTAGATTCGAATACATGTGATAAAATTCGAACAATAAGGGCCCGAATCACATGTAATAATGCAAGAAATATCGATTTTCGTTATCTTAAAAGGCTACTAGTAAAGATAGACAAACAAGAAGACTTCATATCTTTAAGACTTTTTGCATTTATTTGGCATCAGATAATACAGTAATAATTCTAGTATATTCCGACCAAATGACCTCTGAAGCCCGAACCCACAAATAGTGCGCTTGGGCTGCCTGTGTTTTACCAGGCATTGATATTACAAGGAGAAATTTGATGCTGATCACTATTAGGGGTTCACAGTATTGGCCATTATAGAGAGTTTCCTCCCCAGAGGGACTCTAAGAAAACAGAGCTGGCTTAGTTTGGTCTGTGAATTGACAGTGAACAGTAGTGTTCAGTCAGATATCTGAAGGTACAGCTGTACGGCAGGACCAGAGAGAGCTTTTGTGTGCGTGTGTGTGTGTACTTGCTTGACTTGCTCAACTGTGATCGACTATACTGGGGAACTTCTTGCATTTCAGTCTGTTAAGTGAGTGATTTACTTAAAAACATCTGGCTTAATTTTTTCCATAACAGTGCACTGTCAGTTTAATTTTATCTTTTTTGCACAAACCCCTTTTGTTTCCTTTAGTCATTGTTAAGTACTTGTAGTGACAGTCCTCTATGTTTTTTCTTGTTGTTGTTGTAGACACTTGATAACGGAATGCGCATCATTCAACTGGAGACAGCTGTTGGAGCTGCCATGAAGAATTTTGAAGGAGCTCATGGTAAAAGATAACACGTACAAACTGTTTTAGTTATGATGATGATGATGATGATGATAATGATGATGTAATGTTGGTAACGCGGCGATGTTAATGGTGTAATTGTTGATTAATTGTTACTTTTATTATCATCATTGTCAACATCAGTATCTTTATTTTTAACTTGTTTTTTTTTTTTAATATCAGAGACGGATAATTCTCTTTTGTTATGACTTAATTGAAAACTCTGGACTGCCTGCAAGAGGTATTGACCGCATCTGAGCCGCAAGGAATAAATTTGCGAAATCGTGATTGCCATTTTTATGATTTATATAATTCTTAATGCTATAATTATAGTCCTTAATTCTTACTTCAAATATTTCTGTAAGTTATGTACATATTTTTTTCAAAATTGAATAAAATTATAGTTATTATAAAAAAATCATCATCATTATTATTATTATCATCATTATCATTATCATTATCATTATCATTATTATTATTGTTATTAGCAACGTCATGCAAGTTACATGAACGGTTCAAAGATTTTTTTTGTCAAATCACGCTTCAGCTGCAGATAAGAAACCTTAGTCTTGTAATAGCACTGCGATCAAGCGCGATTAAACTCAGCATCAAGAAACCGCGTCACGCTCCAGTTATTTATCACGTTCCAGACTTAAATGAAAAATTTCTACTCCTCTATGAACAAAACACTGAACTGGAAAAAACAGTCACTTCTCTAATACTTCAAAAATCAAAACACACGCTTAAATGATGTTCATCGTCTCAGTCTGTCGTCTCGCGCTCTCTCCACATTTTATACTTCTTCCAAAATAGTCAACTACGTCATTGTATTGGCCTGAAATCGAGGCCATTAAACTGACCAATGAAAATACTGGTTCTATTGTATAAAGTTAGCCGCCATCTTGAAAACAATATAAACGAACACAGGTGGAAGAAAATGGGGAAGTTTTGACAAGTTGATTATCCTCGTCTTGCGGGAGATGAGCTTCGGCGAAATCATAACCCTAAATGTTGGTGGAAGAAAGTAGGTGTTTATATTATCCTTTTTTTCTTTTTAATGTTGCTGTGGATGGATATGTTAGGGAAATTTTGTGCCCCATTGCCACAGCTATCAGCATCTATCCAGAGATGTCGAATGATCCAAAATGTGGTAGAGATTTGTTACATGTATTGTTAAAAACTGGGTAACATGTGTATAGGTGACCTTTATTCAATCAGTGACTACTTTTACATTTACAGCGTTCAAGCTGTAGGAACAGTTGATAAGAAAATTCAGTTCAATCAGTAGTTCAGTTCGCCTGCTGTGACCATCTCCCTGTGGATGCATGCATAAACTTAAGCTTGTGCTAATTTCGGATTTCTGTACGTAGTAAGCCATTGGTAGAAAAAATAAAACGTACAGTGTCTATTTTAATTCAAGTCTTTGTATTGCCTAAGTTACCTGTGATATTATTGCTTAAAATTTCTTTGTGAATTTCATTTAAGATACCCTGGGAGGTTACATTTGGTATGTTTTTGTGAAGCTTTATAAAGCCTTGTGCTCTCTGGTGACTCAAGCATAGGCATAAGCATTACTTGGTCCTCAGCCAGTGATGCAAGGATAAGTTTAAGCATAAGAAGCGTATGCGCTAGTGATGATGGCCTTGACATACGTACAAGCATGAACACAAGAACATCAAAACCTGGCATTCTTCTTTATATTATGCTCCTGCTTAATTCAGGGCTGTCTCCATATGCTAATGCCAATGCTTATGTGTGTGCTGGCGTCACTAGTGAGGACTGGGCTTACAGTACAATGCACTTGAAGGCAGTAGGCAGCGATTTCGTCGGCAGCCAGCTTCTTTTGACAACCCTGATTGGATGACCACATTAGTAGCTTGCTCTCGCGTGCCCAATTCAAATTCCTCCTTCCCCTCCTCCTTCCCCTTTCAACACCTGCTACGCAAGTTAACGTATATTAGATACCACTCATATAACTTTGACTTCAGTAGATATATGTGCATCGAAGAATGATATGGTTATTGTAATAATTATTGGCAGGTTTTCAACATCTAAGCAGACCCTGACATGGATTCCAGACTCATTTTTCTCCAGGTAAGTGCATAGTATTAAGTCATGATGTCTTTGACCTGATCTTCAAAATTATTTATGTCATCTGGTTGGACCAACTTAAACATAGCTCCAAGGAGAGTTAAAAAGTTTAGAGAGAATTCTTGGCCATCATTGATGGTACAAGCCTGGCTGCCTTGTAGGCTACTCTGTGAAGGCAATTGGAAATTGAGAATGATAGGGGAAGGGTTTTAAAAGAAGCCAGAATCCTGCAGCCCTTATCACTGATTAGCTGGATTTGTTTTCTGACAGTCCTTAGTTCAACTCTTTGGTCAACTGGTTTGCCTTCTGTCAGCAGGGATTTAGAGATGCCAACCTCTGGAGATCTAAAATCTGGAAACCGTCCCCTTTTCATTTACCCAGCTACCCCCTCCCCCCAATGACACAAATCAATCCAGTTCCCAGATTATAACATGGGTATGGCTCAGGATATTATACAAAGTCTTACATGAAGTACTGTACAAATCATCAAAATTCGCTTTGTTGATGAACGTCTTGTCAGTGATGAAATGTCTTTAAAAGTAGCACAGAAACCATACTATGAACAAAAAAAATATTAATTTTAAATTGTGGGAAGGAGATGAATTGGTCACCTGTAGGAGATTTGTGCCATATCTGGGAGAAATGGCATAATATGGCAGATTATTAACCACGTTATTTCACATAGTTTATTCATATGTACTTATTATTAAATAAGTGCCTGCCAAGTAGAGCTGCTAGCTGGATTAGCTTTATCTAGGATTGAAAGTTAACAAAGTCATTTTGATTGAGTGACTTATGAGAGGAGGGTCAGTACTGTATGTTTCTTTTTGTAAAAAAGCCAGTAAATTTAGCCTGCTACACACAGCATGTCTTTTGACTTGTCACATAGTACTCTCCAAGATTTTGTGACAAGCCAAAACAATATCTGTATAGGAGTGCATTTGACAAGTTGTGCTCAATAGCCTTCCTTATTTTTCTTATTTCCTAGTTTATTAAGTGGAAGAATTGCATCTCTCAGAGATGAAACAGGCGCAGTAAGTTGAAATTTTGTTAAAGAGTAGGACTAGTCAGTCCATTATGACTCTTTAGTATTATCATATGAATTTTGACCTGTACTATGTTGCATAATTTGTGTCACACAATAAACCTTTCTTATATCACAATCTGTCCCGATAATATTGCATAATTTCTGATTCTATATTGATCATTTTCACCTAAAAGTTAAAAAAAACTGCAATATTAGGTTTTTTTTGTGATCAAAAATGCTTGTCAGTAAATGGCTGTGCATTGTAAAAGGGGTGTGACATTATTTTTCTTTTTTCTTATTTTTGTCTCTGTTTTAAATAGATATTTATTGATAGAGACCCAGATGCATTTGTGCCCATTTTAAATTTCCTCAGGACCAAGGAACTTGATGCGAGGTAACGTATTAATTTTTATAACTTCTCAAACTTCTAATAGATCAGAGTGTGTGATCTTTTATCTCCAATTTTCCAGAACCTGGAAAAAAGTCTTACCTGTACACCAGCTTTGCAACAGTGATAAAGGAGGTGTACAGGGCTTAAAAAGAGTCCTCTCCGGTTGTCCGGAACAAGCATATTTTTTTTGCTGGGCAGGTAACTTTTAACCCTTTAAGCCCCAATATCCACATACAAATTCTTTAAACTGATCTCTATACATTTTCTTAAAGGATATGTTGAGACAATTTGATAATACATGTAGATCAAAGCATTCTCTGTTGGGTGATCATTTTATCAATTCTCATAACTTATCTTATGAAAGTGTATGGATATTGTTAGGAGAAAATTGATCTTGGTCACTATTGGGACTTAAGGGGTTAAAGCTTACTTGCCTAATGTTTAAGGGTCCAGGCGAGTCATTGTGTAACAAAATCACAAGAAGTGGCCCTGGGTAAGCAAAATATGACAGCTGCTTGCCCTAACTCAATCTATGTCAAAACGGATTATTAGTACTTAATTGTGGCCATACATTTTCCGTTGCAGAGGATTAGATTTGAGAGTTATCAAGCATGAAGCTGAGTATTATGGTATCACCCCCTTAGGTATGTAAGCAGCTATAAATTAAGTTTCTTTTTTTTTCTTTAACAAAAATCATTGTCAAATCTTATTAAAAGGTCTCTCGTGGGAATACACTGTGACTTTATGTATGAGACTTTTTGGAAAGGTTTCCATAACTGCTTAATAGACCACAGAATTCAAGGAAAGTTTTATATTATAGTATTGTTACTTTGGCAAGTGAAATTTTGGAGTAAATGTTTTCTAATGGTCATCAATAATTTTTAGAGATAATAGTGTACAAAGGAAAGTAATGTTAAAGAGTCTTATTTAATCTGAACATGACTCACTCCAATTTTCTCACAAAAGGTAATAAAAAACCTAATGTTTTTTTTTAAAAAACATCAGACCTTTAAGTATAATTTAATATTTTAAGCCATGTTTCATCAAGTCTAAGACACTTGGTGCCCAATCTTTTGAACCTGATTGAACACACCTGCAAAAAAATAGAATTTTTTAAACTATACATTATCATCCAAAATCATGTATTGCAACCCTGCCCTCTTCCATTTGGCAGCTCTCACTTTTAAATACAGATCTGTGATTTGCTTTATCATTTAAACAGCAAAGAGACTGGCTCTGTGTGAGGAAGTGTCCCATTCAAAATGTGGTGATGTACTTTTTCATGGGTATCTTAACTCTCCAGGTAACATTTTTACTGGAATACTTTTACACTTAAATTTAATTCTCTTAATTGAACTAACTTGAGGAATTTACGGTTGGAAGAGGGTAGGCAGAATGTGTGGTTTTTTGCTGGCTGAGGAAGGAAAGAAGCGGAAAAAGTTTTTTTCACACATGGCTGGGAGTATGGGTTTGAGTGTGTGGGGGTCTTCCGGTGACGTGGCGTTTAGAGTTCAGTTGTTTTTGTTGTCATCCGCCGTTGGCTGGCCTGCCCCACTCACCCGACCTTCATGTGATTTTTGTTTCGTTTTAGGATTTAAAATATTGCTGTAGTTCTGGTTGAGTATTGAGTCTCAGTTTCTTGTTAGCTGTTTATTAGCACTTTTTGTGCTGTAATACTAGTGATTTGTGGTGTTGCTATTAAAGGTCGGGCTGCTTGGTTGGCTTGGCATGGCTCCCAGTTGTGTGTGAGAAAATAATTTTGGATACACTGCACACAGCAAAAATGTTGATTTGACTCTGTGTTCAAAGTGCTTTTACTTACAATGTACAGGGTACATGGTACAATAACATCACCTTATCCAAATGACACCTTGCTAACCCTTTGTCTGAGTAACATTATTTATGGTATATCAATAATTTTCAAATTAACTTTTGCTTGTCTGTCTAGTAATACTATTGTATAACAATTAACTACTAAGTAATACTATTGTATAATAATTAACTACTTTGAAGACAATATTTTTTTTAATGTTTCTCTGAAATATGTGTAACTGTCAAAATTCATCCAAAGCATTCAACCCTTGAATGGTCACTTGTTTTGTCTAATTTAAGATGGTTTTACTTTTCTTCCAAAAATAAAAAATATATATTTCACTGAGGGAAACTAAACAATCTCATATAAACAATTTTTTATCCAATCTTCATCAGAATTTCCAGTTCCATCTACATCAAAACAGTCATCATCAAACACTCCCACAAGAAGAAGAAGCACAGCATCCACAGTAAGTAGGACACCACGGCATGAAAGAGACACCTCTTCTTACATTGAAGCCATCATCAGGGAAGTTCCTGATGACTCCTCTGATCCTCTAGGTAAGTGGGCTGCATTGTAAGCTCAATATTTTTGAATTGTCAGTTTATGTGGTAAATGACGGCAGGATCAGAGCGGGGGGGTTGCAGAGATCGCAAGTTTGATCCCTTAGACCAGACTAATACTCAGGATCTAAACTAGTCTAGATCTAGATCTGGATCTAGTACCAGTTACATGAAATTAGAAGGTAAAGGTAGGAAATTTGAATAGGAATATTTTGAAGCCGATCTAAAATACATTGTAGATCTCAAATAGATCACCCTGCTAGCAATCATTCATGTGAAGTGCTTTATACTGGTGTGAAAATTACATAGTGCCAACACTGTGCCAGGGTCGCGCTAATGTGGTACCAACATAGTGCCAACACTGCATAGTTTCTCCTGATGCTCAAACATGTCTTTGTTATTCTCTCTAGATGTGGATCCAAGAAGAGTTCTTATGATTGTTGGGCATCATAGTTTTGTAGCAGTTGCCTTTGCTCATGCTGTATTCTGCTACAGGTTGGTTTACTGAAGAACTGAACTGAAGTCTAATAAATAAATGTAGCCTCTTTTTTAAAAACTCGGCTTTCACTCTTGCATTTAAACCTTCCATTGGCAATCAACTGGAGGTTCCATCTGGGAAAACTTATTTTGATATTTTGTGATAAGTGGTAACTTATATGAGGTGGTTGCTCAGGAAAGTTCAACTGTTGGCACTGTTTTGTTGATCATTCATTATCATCCATCATCAATCAAAATCTTGGGAAGTTATTTCCTTAAATTATGTGATAATTTATTATGGAGAAATGGTCAGTCGATTAACATGGAAAAGTAAAAAATATATTCAGAACTGAAAAGAACAAATAAAAGTTTGTGTAGTTTTAGTGGACTCGTATTGCAGCTATAAGCCAACCATGACCTTTTTTCTCACACGTTAAGTACATTTTATGTTTTTGTCATGTTCTAAAGCATGCCACATCAGCCATGCTTAACCTAAAAGTGGTCCACAGTCTGAGTCAAAAAAACTCAAGAGTTTATATTACTTGGACTTGCACACAGATGAAAAATAAATTGAATTCTTAAAATAAACAACCCAGGGCAAAATTTTCTTTCCTCTTTCTGAACTTGGATATGGTTCTTATGAATTAGCCGCCATAGCCAGTCTTGGATCATGAGGTTCCTATTTTGAATGTGCTGCTTTAAGATCAATGTGTTCTTAGTGCATCATGTTACTTCTCCTTTACCTATTGTAGATCCAAAGACTCTGTGGGCTGGGAGCTTATTTTCTCCACTCCTTACCTAAAAAACTGTGTGGAAAAAATGGCACTGAATGCTAAAGTAACATCCAGTTCACTTGGTGATAAAATGCTGGCAGTATCAGCAGGTTTGTTTTATTAACACTTTCACTCCATATTAGCCTGTGCCAGGCTCTCAGTCAGTGTAGACAAGCGAAAAAAGCGAGCGAGCAGTGAAATAGTGAATGAGTGAAAAAGGGCGGGAAGAGAGAAGGGGAGAGTCTGAAAGCTTCTTTTGCAGTACCTCACCTTGCCCACAATCCCGTCCACTTCCTCAAAAACCATTTCTCCTGTTAAAAATATGTCAAAACATCAAAAGTTGCTGTGTAGGAGGGCTTCCCATGCTCAACATGTTTGTTAGACTCTGTGCGCCTGAAGCCAAATGATTGATGTTAGCCATGAAGTAAAATGTTACACTTGACCAATCATGTATACCAGGAGCTGGTATATGGGATTGAGATATTGAAAACAATGGTTACAGGCACCCTCTGTCTCTTCCCAATCCCCACGCGGTTTCCACGCAATTTTTCTCTATCCTCTTTTCCCACTATCTTGGAGCCTGGAACTGGTTAACACGATATCAACATTGCGATATCGACATCTTGTAGCGGGCTTAGCCTGAGTATCAGGCCTTCCTAAGGGGCTAGGGGAGAGGAGATTTTAGATGGGGGAGGGGGGAGGAAAAGGAAGGAAGTTTCTCTCCTTTCGCTCTCTCCCTTTTTCGCTTTCCTCCTCCCCTTTTCCTCCAGAAACGCCTGATACTCAGGCTATAACCAGCTAAACATAGTGTCATTATTAAGCAGCGATTAGCAGCAACACTCCTAGCAGCTTTATCATCTCATCTCCACTTCTCCCTGACTCAAACTTGCTCTCCTTCAGGCAAATGACCAAGAAAGTGCAAAACTGACATGATCTTGTCTCTTTCAGAGGGTAAAATTCGTTTATGGAGTTTTACGACAACAGACCATATCCAAGGTGCCGTGAAATTTGAAATTGGTAAGTTGATGGGTTTGGGGCTGATCACTGATTTGAAGTGATTGCTTGTCACATGAACCTAGTTTAGTGGCCTTAGCTCCCTCGAGTCTCTTGTAGCTTTGTGGTAGAGCATCTGGACTGGTATTAAGCAGAACTAAGGTCAAAATTTCGACTTCTGTTGGAAGTACTCGGATTTTAATTCCAAGCCACCTATGTCACTGACTGAAAAAACATCTCTCTCAATGAGATCTTATTCATGAATTGCATTGCATTATTCTCATTGCATAATAAACTATTTTTCACAGATAAAGTTGAAGAGAATCTAAATTAAAGAAGCATTGCCGTGATCTTTCTAATTATAGAGTACTTTAAACCAAAACGAAAGCACTGCTGGAAAGGTTTCATTTGAATGGGTTACACCACAGGATCTCATATACAGTACATATTTATCCAAAAATTCACAAGTTAGAACCTGTTTATACAGCTTAATTAACAATACCGTAAAATTCCAAAAATAAGCCCCGGGGCTTATATGTTTCAAAGGCCCTTTTTGAGGGGCTTATTTTTGGAGGCGCTTATCTACGGAGGGAAATTTGCGTCTCAAAATCGATTGGGCTAGCCTTATAGTTGGACGTAAATTTACCGTTTTTGCTTTGTTTTACTTTGTATTTGATGGCAATTTTCCAATTTCAACCCCCCAGGGGGCTTATATTTGGAGGGGCGATTTAACGGAGGGTTTTTTACGTTACCGGTTTGGGGGGCTTATATTTAGAGGGGCTTATTTTCGGAATTTTACGGTACCCTGTGAAAGTACTGCTTAAGAGCTTTTATCTTTATCATCACACCGTAGTAGAACTTCATCCATCGACTGACAAAACTTGCAAGATGTGTGAAAGTGATTGGAATTCAAAGCCAGCTTAGAAAACATGAAATGATAAATACTCAGTAACACGTTGCACGACCCTCCACGCCCTTCTGGCTTCACGTTTTATAGAAGACTGAAACTGTTTATTGACAGGAACATTCAACCTCAGCGTACCTGTAGATGCTTTGTTTTTTATCGGAAGCCAGCTTGTTGCTACCAGTCACACAGGCAAGATTGGAGTATGGAATTCTATGACACAGCATTGGCAGGTATGTATACAAAGTGTGAGTTCAACTTCCAGCTCAGCTAATTCGTCCCACGTCGACCTGTATGATTTATACACAATAGTCAGGAAGGGGACGCCAGGCAGGCTCTTTCTTCCCTCTACCACGCACATATCTCTTGCGCGTTTTTCCTGTTAACAGAGCAGTTGTCGGGTTCACCCCCTACTTAATAGCCACGGCTGACGTCACGACTAGAAAAATGGCTCCATGCCTAGGATCGACTAGACTACGAGTAGTCCCCCATTTTTCCTCAGGGATAGTAGAGCGAGCGAAACGCGAGCGCGCGTGAAAATCACCCAACGCGAGAAAAGGCGACACGAGGTAAGGAACGACTCAAGACTAGGGCCGAATCACTAAAGACGGAGAAGTGAACGTAATGACTCTCAGCTTTTGATCCAGTGAGCAGATAAATTTTTGTTTCTGGGAGACTGCCCACTTACCCCTCCCCTAAGCCAACATCAACACTTCTCTTTTTGGGCAAAATGTTGGCTTAGGGGAGGGGTAGGTGGGCAGTTTCCCAGAAACCTAAGGGTTCAGCTCGTCCAAACAAAATTTGTAAAGTGAGCATCTTGGGTGGTAGATAAGGACCCAGTTTGTTGTTTCTGCGTAATTTTAAAGTTTGGGATAAATGAGAGAAAAAAAGCACTTTTTCGCTGTTTTAGATCCAGGATGTAATGCCGATTTCCAGCTATGACACAGCGGGTTCTTTTCTCCTTCTTGGATGTACGAATGGCTCGATTTATTACATCGGTAAGTTTGTTATTATAATTTCATTCATATGTGGAAGTGTGGTATTCTATTAAGTGCACAGGTAACCCAGGCTCACGATTTGTGTCATGTACGGGTTTCATATAACATGAGTAAATATAGAAAACATATGTGGCCAAGTTTAGGTCTGGAAATTTGCTAGAAAATGGAAATAAACATCGATGAAATTTACCATGTGGCGAGTTGTTGTTGTCCTTAATACATGTATGCACACGAAGTTTCGGGAAAAATAGTCTCCTTCATCTTTCCTACATGCCATTATACTATGTAGGAAAGATTTAGGAGACTGTTTTTCCCGAAACTTTGTAACACCTCTATGTGTACTCTGTAAAACCGTTGACGTTTGGCCTTAACTGCATTTTGAAGAGATGTGAAGCACGGACCACTTTATACAGCTCCATGTGTTTGTTTTATAGATATGCAGAAATTTCCGCTGAGAATGAAAGACAACGATCTTCTTGTAACCGAACTGTATAAAGATCCAAACGAAGACATGGTGACAGCACTCAGCGTCTATCTAACGCCAAAGACTTGTAAGTAAAGAAGCAAATTGCATGTTTTGTCCTTGTTGCAAGCAGCAACCAATCAGGTATCGACACTTCATGTGTGCTAACACGGACAAATTGGTTAAGTACCCCATAATCATAATTTCGAGCCATTTTTGTGTTGTTCAGATAATTCAAACGCAACGAAGTCTAATGAGGGTTGTTTACATTTTAGTAACCAACGTGACGACCGTTCGGCTACATTAACATAAACCGTGGTATGAAAGGAAAGTTCTGCTTTCCCACACCGGCAACTGAACCCAGGCCACGGTGGTGAGCACGCCGGGTCCCAAGCACTGGCCCATGTAGGAAATACGAGGAAAATCTGTTGTTCGTTTAGTCTGTTAGTTTAACTGGCCAATTGTGTGTCAACTGAAAGATAAACCAAAGACAAAACGTCATGTGAGCGCCAGCAGAATTGAGCGAAACGCATAAAACTGATTCTTTCAACCAAATTTAATACTCGATGTAAGAATAGCGCAAAAAAGTGACTATTTGAGCTCGGCTACTTAAACTGTGGTATATTTAAAAAAATGTTCTTTTTTCCCACACCGGGAATCGAACCCGGGCCACGGCGGTGAGAGCGCCGGATCCTAACCACTAGACCATGTGGGAATCGACAGAAAAAAAGGCGAAAAATTTTTGTCTCTGTAGTCCGTTCAGCTCATAGAAACTTCAGTATCTGCTGCCTGCCATGTCGCACGAAGCGAAGTTTGCCCCACCCCTATACAAAGCACACCAAGTGCTGTCTCGGCGGCGACCGTTGTGAAGAGGTTGAGCTATATTTACATAGACGTTTTCTTTGAAGGTCTAAGTGGGAACTGGATCGAGATCGCGTACGGTACCAGTTCAGGGACTGTGCGGGTGATCGTTCAACACCCCGAGACAGTTGGCCACGGACCGCAGCTCTTCCAAACATTCATGGTTCACCGGAATCCAGTTGTGAAAGTGATGCTGAGCGAGAAAAACCTCGTGTCTATATGTTCAGAGTATAATCACGTGCGCACGTGGAACGTAACACGCTTCCGTGGCATGATCTCTACGCAGCCTGGTTCCACACCTCTGGCATCCTTTAATGTAGTTTCTCTTGAGTCACAGGATACCCACCCTAGCTCGTTGGCTGGTAACGTTATTGGTGAGTGCGTTGACACAGTAATTGCTTCTTAATTAATAAATTGACAAATTTTTTAACCGCAGCAACCTAATCGGAAACTACAAGGTTGTGTTTCAACAGTAGTTGCTTGTGTTCTATTCTGCTTTTCTTGTCTTTTTTTTGTTTGTCTTCTCTCTCTTTTTTTTTTTTGCATCTCATTTTACTTACTCCAATATCTTTGCCTTCGTAGCTGGCGTTATCGAAGGCGAGACGAAATTTTTGGCGGTTGATCCTCGTCGTAGTGCTTTCTCCCTCTTTTCTCATAACCTCCTATGTCGTGTACCCAAAGCACCGGGTCACTCACGTGACCCAGTGCTCGTGAAGGGCGTTGGAGATACCACTGTACTTTAATCAGGCCTTTGCAGCCAAAAAATTTCCCCTGCAAGTATAATCCTCCCAGCAAAGTGTCTCTTACCCTCACTGGAAACATATTATCGACATGTTCAACACTGTCTGCCTTGTTGTAAGAACCAGAGGAAAGTTTGTTTTTTGAAAAGTCCGTTCTTTCATAAACGTCAACTGTGCGCCTTCACCCTAATAGATCATACTCGGGTGTTTAATGACAGTTCGAACCGTGAGTAGCACTCTGTATATTGTCGTGTATGAATCCTTAATGCACCATTTTTATCTCTCGTCACCAGGCCCCTTTGGTGAGCGTGACGATCAGCAGGTGTTTATTCAGAAGCTTGTTCCAGACACTGATCACGTGATCGTACGGTTCTCGTCCACTGGAAAAAGGTAAGCACGACCAAGCCTGGGATCAAGCACTCCGTTCTACGGCGAGCGAAGCGAGCCGCGATAGAACGCGCGCCCGAGAGAACGCCCGCCCTTCACACTCGCTCCTCCTTTCGTGTGCCGCTCACTTCTGACATCTCGCGTCTCGCTTGCTCACAGGCTAAGCACAATCCCAATTGCAATCTGGAATTTGAACGTTTAAGTACCTGCTGTTATCTTGCTAATTTCTTTCTTGTACTTATACTGAGCAGGTAATTTGTTACGTTTTTTTAGAATCTGCACAATTCGCTCAGTAGACGGGAGCAGCATCACTTCATATTGCGTGCACGAATGTGACGCCTCCAGCAGAATGGGTTCCAGACCCCGACGATTTCTTATCACAGGACATACAAACGGAAGTGTACAGGTACGTGTCGCATAATTAAGTGGTACATTTCGAGTGAGGGTATACCACTCCCGGGACTCTGGAACACTCGGTGCTAGTCCGAGCGTGTCCATCTTCGTTATTTTTGATTGAAGATTTTGAATAACTGGTCCCAAGGATTTTTTTGCCTCCACTGTTGCTTTCGCTTATCTGTTACTTTGATTTTTTCTATTGATAAAAGAGGAGCTAAGGAAGCAGTCTTAGCAAGTGTCAACCCGTAACCGATATAAACAGCGCGCACGCGAGAGATCTGCCCTCTTTCCACTCACGACTCGCGCGTGACCCTTGGCTGGCTGGTCTTGTGTACGCCAAGGAGTTGTTGTGCTTGACAGTGTTTTGTTTTTGCATTTTCAGATGTGGGATTTAACAACGGCTCTGGAAATTGTCTCCAAACAGTCTGGTGAAACTACAGGTGAGTGTTGGATAAAACTGTATATTACTTGTCTTTGTCATTTCTTGATCTGTGATTGGTCAATTATCGTTCCGTAACTTATTGCAAAAACTTATTTTCACTCAAGATTATTCCCTTTTTTTCCCATTTTTTGTTCTTTAGTTATAGGTTTTCTCCTTATATAACCTTGTAATGCAAGTTCTAAATTTAAGCAGCTCAATCCTTTAATAGTCGCCTCGTTGTTGTTCTTCGAAAAGAAAGACATATAACTAACATCTTATTAGTCTCGTTTTCTCTGTCCGTACTTTAAATTATGGATCTTCCCCTTCCGCCGTGTAATTTACCGTACGGAGCTAAAAATACACTAAAAAGAGGTATTTATTCTTTATTCGCCTTTGATACCCCTGTTGTCATCTCTATTGCAGAACGTGACGACATTGGTAATGTAACGCAAGGGGAGCTGTTACGAACATTAGAGCAATGTGACCTTAGCGCGTCACGCTGCACAACTCCTTCCATATCACCGGCCACTTCGCTGCTACAAACAAATTTCACGGCCTCACGACTAAAGCCTTCATACTCATGTCCTAGCTTGAATGAAGACGATCGAGATGAAGCAGGCCCCAGTAATGGAAAATCTAGATATGTTTATATTTCGCAATGTTAAGACTCGTTAGAACGGTTGTTAAGTCTTTCGAGTGGTGTTTCAAAGAAGGAAGTTCGTCATGATCTAGGTGCCCCAAGAAGTGGGTATCCTGTGTAGCAAGCTTTCCTATGCTTTTTATAGTATTTGGCAGCGTGAAACTTGAAACGAGGTGAAACACATTAGAGATGATGGGAGAAAAAAGTTCGTTTTCTCTTTACCCCTACTTTATTTGCTTTTGTTTGCTCTCGCCTAAACTTTCAGGTGAAGTCACTTGTATGGGAATATTTGCTGACACGTTGATAACAGGTGGCCGGGGAAGGGAAAGAGACCGTATGAAAGAGAAGAGAAACCGGGGCTTTAAGAAATTACTGTTTTCCTCCTTCACTTTGACGCAGATATAGTAGGGTGTCCATTAACAGTGTGTTGATTCTAGATAAATCAAATGATCCCCGATCATCGCCCTTTCTGTTTGGCTCCACTAAATACATAAGGAAAGAGGTCAGGCCTGTTGCTTTGGCAACGTGAACATCTGAATCTCGGATTTCTTGATATGCATGTGATGCAGCACTTTGAATGTCTTTTCACGCTCAATTTCTTTCCATAATGGTGGTTGTTAATTTACAGATCATAGTAAATTGTTTATATTCATTTTAAAGAATGTATTAATTTATTAAAAGTAAGGAAAATAAAGCGTTCTTTTTCGGTAAATTGTTAATTATGAGGCTGCCTTTTCTCTCAGAAGAACAATGACAACTGTACCAATCACAGCCCGGCGACCATTTCATCACGAAAGACGCTTCGTACTCACTCGACCTTATCGCGTGAAGAAGACTAGCAGTGCAGTAAGCAGTCTAAACGTCGTGATCCACGTCTCAACTGACTACATCCTCAGACAAAAGGCAACCTCGTTCCCAGGGTTCTCTCTTACCTGTCCCTACGGAGCGAGAGAGTGGGAGAGAAAACTTGGTAACGAAGTTGAGAAGTTCGTCCCCAGCGTCATTCGCGCTACGCGAGTTAGCGGAGGAGGTGCGCGAGCCGCATGAGCCGAATAGGCCATTTGCACGATGGTGTGGTATTTCTTGTAAAAATTAAGGCTCTCGTTATATAAACCTCACTGGATTACCAAGTTTAAATATGAAGAAAAACAAAGTGCAGACTGGTAGTTGTGGAAGTAAAAATCGTGGTTATCTAGTTAATGCCTTCTTGACGAGTGACGTCATATCCGAACTCGCTAAGAAAAACTGGGAATGAGGGTGCGATGTGTCTACAGTTATTGCACCTACCACAATGTATAACCGCAACGTTCTTCAAGACAAACTAAGGCTGTGAAGTATGCTTTTTATCTGATTTGACTTGTAAACAGCCTCTCCTAAACAAGGCATAAAAAAGCTTCAAACTTCCCCCTCCTCCCTTTGGGGCTCTTTCGATATCTCGTAACTGGCTATTTTACATTAGTAGTTATTAGCATAATAGAGGATTGGACACTTTGAGGTTCACGACCTGTTCGCGAGAGACTGGGTGGAATTTGCGTCGGATTGTACTACACGGACTATTTGGGGGACGCTATCACTTCTTTTATTGGTTAATAAGGCCCCAAAGCAGTTCCATAGTTCAATTCGGCTGGTTCAACACAGACCCAGTCTCACAAGTAACACTGGCATACAAAGATCTCTCTTCCTTTAATCGAGGCGGTAAGTCACTGATTTTTGGAAGGTAAATAAACAGCAGTGTAATTAAAATTGACAAAAGAAACAACTTTAATTGATAAATTATTTTTCCTTCGACATATAAAACTAATGTACAATCTACAATATGTTACAAAAATAAGTGTGCAATGGTGATCTTGAAGGATCAAATAAATACAATGGAGAAAGAACAAAATTGCTAGTTATCTCCTTAAAAGCTTTTCGTTGCCTTGGCACATCATAACAGTCAATGCCGGATCCAGGCCTTGAGATAAGGCGGGGGGCCCGGTCTCCAAACGAAATTTTTTCGATCCTCCGGGCCTCAGTTTGCTCTAAAAATAAGGGCCCCCGGGTCCTTCCCCTGGATCTGCTACTGACAGTGGAGACCTTTAGATTCGAGGACGAGATTTGACTTGAGTTTTTTTTTTCAGTTCTGGTATTCTCAAGAACTAGACACCATGAAAATCTTCGTTTTTCATTTTTCACCAGAAAAGTTAACACGATTATTTTTATTGAAAGAGGATAAGCTCTCTCCGTCCTCTCCCGATCGCAAAACGATAAAACTTTTAACATTTGATAAATTGTTTCCGCCACTACATTTCCGCCAAACCCGTAGAAGAATGACGATGGCTATCGCGTTTTTCCCGCTAAAATGACGCTGGTTCACGCGCGTAGACTCTCCCCCTTTATAGAAACTAAAGCCCCCCCAAAGGTCTCTAGAGAAAGATTCCTACACTGAGAACTGTAGTCACTGTAGTCAACTCAAACTTAACCAACTCTACAAGATGAACACATCCCCAAAACGGAAACCAAACTTTCGTTTTCAGCGTTCTTCGTCCGTCTTAAAGGGAGAGTCGAATGTAATACTGTGCTAAGACCGAACTTTTGAAAGAAAGCAAGAGATTTCTTGTTTCAAAAGCCCATTGGCCGTAAAATTTGTTAAGTAAAGAATTAAATTGCAAGTTGTACAAACTTGACAGTTTTGAAAACGGCTTCTACAACTGAGTGTACGTCAAGCCTCGTGATCTTTAACAAAAAGCACTGAAGTAAATTTCAGCTGGTAGGAATTGCTTTACTCGGGTTAAAAGAAAAGGAGAAAACTGGACGTTATTACAAATAATATCACCAGAATCTGAATGACGCTTTCAAAAAAGGAGACAAATTTTAGGATCCTCACAAGAAAGTTCCACAAGGCTGACTTGTCACAGAGAATCGTCGTATGGCAGACCAGTCATTCCTGTGATGACGTCAAACACTGGCGGGGGATTGGACGCTGCTAACCTGTTGTAATAAACGGAACAAAAACAAAACTCAGTATTGAATGGGACAGACAGAGCTGAAGTAAATCAATTTCTCAGACGTTTTGGCAGTTTTTAGTTACTTTGTCAGAAGCATGCAAAGTAAAAAGAACAGGAGTTGCACCAGATGGCGGTAAGGAAAAAGAAAGTATTCCCGCCCCGAGGACTGAAATAATAATGAAAAAAAAGATTGTGTTGATTTAAGGAGGGGAGACAGGGTTTCATGGATAAAACTATCCTGGGTATCAGAGGATTTTAGTCGCGTAGGGTGGAATTTTTACAAGTCGGCACAATTTCCGCCGAAGCCACGAGCGGCGAAGGAGCGGGACAATATTAAGACTTGACCGAGACCGGAAACCGCGCATGAAAACTCCTTGGTATCCAGGGTAGGCTAAAGCGGCACATCCCACTAAAATTCCCCAGGGATATTCCATGTTACCTCATCATTCTTTTGTGACTAACGACTTTCTTGGTTCCAGGGCTCGGCCGAGAGGGTGGTGGTCGAGGTAACCGCGGATATTGCTGTAACTGTTTCTGCAAACGAAGTTTCTCTTCGGATAGTTTCTCGCTTATAAGTTTCATGTGTCTATTATACTCCTCTCTCGACACGGACGGAGTTTTAACTTCGACTCCTGATGTTTTTTCCTCGCTTTTAATTTCCTGTGATACACTGTACTGTCTTCTCAAATCTATGTGAATCGATTTTCCTTCGGTATGTTGCGCATCAACAGTGCTCAAAGCAACTTGGTCAGCGGTCTTATCGAACCATCCCATGTGACCATGTCCTTTACTTGCAGGTCGCTGATCATGATTAATGAAAGTTTCAAACGTAGCGTTTGCGCTTGCGTGACGGTCATGTGGTTTCTGTGCAGATCTCGGTACTTTACCTACATCGCGTGCCCAAGGATCAGAAAATTCATCTCCGACGCTAATAAATTCGTCGTGATTGTAAGGCGCGGAATCGTTTTCCTGGTTGAAATCCATCTTTTTAAACAGGTCATCCCAGTTGTGGCCTTGATAACCGCCGGTGTTTTGCGCAGAGTACTGCCGCGCAGCTTGTCGCTTCGCTAACCGCTGAAGAGCAGCGGCGACTGCATGTTCATCAGCTAACGTGTGACCTGTCAGAATAAAAAAAAAACTTAACGCCACTCAACTTGCCAGGTTACGTTGGAAATCAAATAAGCTCCGGTTATAAAATGTTCGTATCAATGCGTGCGCTATCATTGATCAGAGCCACATAGCCACGCCCGTGAGGACGAATTTATCATACTGCCATAAAGCTCGATTACTACGTCACGAACTTCCCTAAACGATATATAACGCAGGTACCGGCGTCACCAATATGGGCGGGTCTTACTACAGCGTATTATATCCAGTGGCAGATTCAGGGAGGGGCCCGGGGGGCTCGCCCCCTCCTTACGTTTAGACCAAACTAAGGCCCGAAGGGCCGAAAAAAGATTTTTTGGAGACCGCGCCCCTTCCCCCTTATCTAAGGGTCTGGATGGACACCATACTTCGCTTTGACATCATACTGCAACACGATTGGCCAATCGAACAATGCCTTCTCTGTATTAAGGTTCTCTTTGGCGGGAAAACGAAGAGGCCATGTTTTGATCTTTTCATCCATTGGCTGATAAAACAAATAACGAACACTTACCAAAACCATTTTTCAAGGTAATACGAAAATCGGTCTACGTATCTGTTTGTGTCTAACCTTATACCGCGGCTGTTCTCAGAATGCTTGTTTGACTGGTCTGGACTGGGCTTTATGAGCATGTCACGTGGTTACTTACCTCCGTCCATACTCCTCGTATCACTGATGTCTCCGGTGGTCCTTGCATCATGTGAATGCGGTTTTGCCGAAACAGGACGACCAGCCCTGTGCATCCGGCTATCAGCTCCTGGAACGATAAATGGTTCGCTTTAAGAAAAACACAACAAAAAGTTCGTTTATGTTGCAAAACAGAAATTAGACATTGAAGTTTAGGCAAGTTTTAATGCAGTAACGAAGTCTTCTTTCTATGACAAAGTACAAAATGACATAACACTGACCTCTAAAGGTACGGTTAAAGACTCATGTATTCCTAGCAAGCTCTGCATGGTAAACTAAACTAGCTAGAAGGCGTGACGAATCCAATCCGTTAATACGCAGATGCAAGAATGTGAAATGAATCTCTTCTCGGATTTTTCGCGTGTCCGGAATCTGTAGCGAATACCGTAAACGTTCGCTTATAAGTTCCCCTCCCCCACCCCGAGTTATAAGTAAATGGGACATTTGATATAATCCCCTGATATAATCCCCCTGATATAATCCCCCCTCTTCTCTAGCTTGTATTGAAATTGTTTGTAGCTATTTTTGAAGGGTTTTTTTAGTCTGGGTTATTAGCCCGCCTGAATATAAGTGTAAACCTAGCCTAAATGATCACCTGACCTTGTGACCCTATGACCTTGGCGGACACTGGCCGTTGACGGGTTTTGTTCAGGGCCACCGAGGTCCCATAAGCAGAGACCGCTGTAAACGCTCGTGCGTGCCGATCAGCCATGCTAGAGTCCGTGTTACTAAGGTCCTCTGGGGGTCTCTGTAACTGTTCGTCTGCTGTAGGATTTGACCTATCAAAAGAAGCATAAGAAAGCTGTTTTGTCAAGGCGAGTTGAAGAACTATAAATCTCCCGGCCTTCGTACCCTCTCTCTTTCAAGACCATCTTCTTTACATCCTTCCCTCTTAAAGAAAACGCGGGTCTTTCCCGAG